TTATGTGTTTTGATAAAAGTCTTCTTACAAATGAATTTTATAAAAATCACAAGAGACGCACTCAATGTAAGAGGGGCGGGGGCAGGGGGTGGGGCGACGGGTAATTTCATTTTATCAAAATTTTCTAATCAAATTTCACAATTTTTAGGGAATAAGAATCTGTTTATCCTATTTGCTTCAGAAACAGTATATATTTAAATGTAAACTACAATAAATCTCTTTCTCTCTCTCTCTATCTCTCTTTTTCTTTCTCTCTCTCTCTCTCTATATATATATAGAACATTGCAACAGCTGATTATATCATAATTTTTCGTTTATATAATTTTCATTTTTTTTTTGTTCTTTTTTCTTTTTTTCTTTTTTTTCAATTAATTTCAACTAATTTATAACATTTCATAAATCAAAGGATATGCTCAACACGTTCCTTTTTTTAAATTTTATTTTTCTTTTTTTTTCTTTATAGATAATATACTTTTCAAATATTTGATGAAAGATAGGATGCTGTTGTAGTTGTAGTTGTAGTTGTTGTTGTTGGAAATTTAAATAATTTATTATACTAATGAAATTTTTGTTTTATCCTAATAATGTCTAACTAATATATAAGTTAATTATTTATCAAAATTAATATCACAGTATTATATAAATTATTTCAACATTTGTGGTAATAAAATTTGTGTTAGATGAGAACAATTTAACTTAAATTTTGATAATTATTGAAATAAGATATAAATTATTAAACAAAAATTACAAAAAAAATATTATATGGATTTAAAATATTGTTTGTTTGGTTTTTTTCTTTTTTCTTTTTCTTTTTCATATTATTCGTACACATCGTAGTAGGATTTGTTTTTAATTGGTATGATATATATTTGATTTCTATTTTTCTTCTTTGAAATATTTAAATGTCTTCTTTATTATTATATCGGTGTAATTCCACACATATAACTTTCTAAATCCTTGTAATAATTGTTTTATACTTCTTCAAATTTATTATTTCTCGCTCTCTCTCTCTCACACACACATTTTCTCTCTTTCTTTCTCTCTATTATATAATTTATAAATAAAAATTACCTAGGATGAGTTTACAACTTCAAAGTTGATAATAATTGTTGGCTAGTTTCTATTATTAATGATTTGACATGATCCGCATGCATAATTTGAGTACACATTTCGGTACATTTTTGAAAAGCCACCGTATTATCTTTTGGTAAAATGTGATGTAGACTTTTTAAAGATAAAACGTGTGGTAAATGATGTAAAGTTTCTGTAATTATAAATTGTATCTAAGCATTAAAGAAAAAAACAAAAAAGAAATTACATAATAATATCAAATAATATAAATGTATTCCCTAATAGCACAAAATATTGAAAAATATTGAATACGTGTGTATTTAATATTAAAAAGAGATTTAATGTCTTTTTAATATTAAATACACATGTATTCAATATAATTAATGAATATATACTGTATATAGGTAATAAAATATGAAATAAAAAAGANAAAACTCAATCTGTTAAGAACGTTGTATCAAATAACAAAAGCCAATCTTTTAAGAAAGTTGTATCAAGTAATAAAACCCAATCTGTTAAAGGTGCTGTATCAAACAATAAAACTCAATCTGTTAAGAACGTTGTATCAAATAATAAAACAAGTGGTAAGTAAGACAAATAAAATTCAACGTAAGAACAAAAATATTAATCACATTTTATTTTTCTTTGTCTAGATGAAGAATATGAAAATGACAGTTCAGACGAAGAAGATATTCGTAATACCGTAGGTAATATACCTATGAAATGGTACGATGAATATGATCACATTGGTTACAACTGGGAAGGTAAAAAAATCATGAAACCGGAGAAAGGTGACCAATTAGATAATTTCTTAAAGAGAATGGAAGATCCAGATTTTTGGAGAACAATAAAGGATCCACAAACTGGACAAGATGTTATACTTAGCGAAGAAGATATACAATTAATTACTAGGATACAAAAACAAAGAATTCCTGATGTACAATTCGATGAATATGCTGTATGTATAATGTTTTTATATGTAATATAAAAAATATTTGAATATTTTGTAATAAATTATTTATTCCGTTATAATATAGCCATGGGTGGAATGGTTTACATCAGAAGTTATGAAAACACCGCTTCGTAATTATCCTGAACACAAACGTTCATTCTTACCTTCTAAACTTGAAGCCAAAAAAGTATCCAAATTTGTACACGCGTTGAAAATGGGTTGGATGAAATCAACAGCAGAAATGGAAAAGGAAAAACAACAAAAAAATAAAACACCAGAGTTTTATATGTTATGGCAGTCTGATGATCAAGCTGAGGAAATGCGTAGAATTCACAAACACATACCACCACCTAAAAGACATTTACCTGGTCATGCGGAAAGTTATAATCCTCCACCAGAATATCTATTCGATAGCAAAGAACTTAAAGAGTGGAATAAATTAAAGGCAACACCATGGAAAAGGAAGTTACATTTTATTCCACAAAAGTATACTTCGTTAAGAGAAGTACCTGCTTATCCTAGATATATCAAGGAAAGATTTAAAAGATGTTTAGATTTGTATTTATGTCCAAGAGCATTAAAAATGAGATTAACGATAGAACCGGAAGCTTTGGTACCGCAATTGCCTAGTCCCAAAGATTTGCAACCATTCCCAACAACGATGTCTATGATCTTTAAAGGTCATACAGATATGGTCAGAAGTATTACAGTAGAACCATATGGACAATACATCGCTTCTGGTGGAGATGACATGACACTCAAAAGTATGAAAATAAATCTATATGTATATGCGTATATATATATCTATATTTTTATTTATTACAAAGTATAACCTTTTTAATATTTGTGATAAATTTAATTGTAATATTTAAATAATTTCATTATATAGTTTGGGAAATAGCTACTGGCAGATGTACGAAAACAGTGGCTTGTGGTGGTGTAATTAGAAGTGTTGCTTGGTGTCCTAATCAAGCCCTATCTCTCATAGCTGTTGCAGCAGATAAAAAAGTTCTTTTAATAAATCCAGGAGTCGGTGATCATCTTATTACGAAAAAAACAGATCAATTGTTAGAAATAATACCGCAAAGTGATATTATAGGTAATTTTAATTGAAATCATCTAATAATCCATTTATTTTTCATTCAAATTTATTTAATTGTAATAAATATTTAATATTATATACTTATTTTATTGAAATAGTTAGCGAAAGAGTAAAATCAGCTGTACAGTGGGAACAACCGGAGGGTGAATCATGGAATAAAGGAATTAGATTAATATTGAATCATTTCAAAACAGTAAAACAAGTTACGTGGCATGGTAAAGGTGATTATTTTGCCGTAGTTATGCCCGATGGACAAAATAGATCTGTTTTGATAAATCAATTATCAAAAAGAAGATCTCAATTACCATTCACTAAATCCAAAGGTTTAATACAATGCGTATTGTTCCATCCAATAAGGCCTTTCCTATTTGTTGCGGTATGTAATATAAAATATATTTTAATGAAATATTCAATTATAATTGTATTGTATTATATTATTATGTGTGAAATTATTTTTAGACTCAAAGAAATGTTAGAATATATGATTTAGTTAAACAAGAAATGGTGAAAAAATTATTGTCCAATTCTCAATGGATATCAACGATGGCTATACATCCTGGTATGGTTATTTATAATTTTATTATATGATGTCACACGTATGTATTTAATTAAATCATTTTCTATACATTTATTTTTAGGTGGTGACAATATTTTGGTTGGTACCTATGATCGTAAAATGTTATGGTTCGATTTGGATTTAAGTACAAAGCCATATCAAACATTACGTTTACATGGCACTGGTGTTAGAGGTGTAGCTTTTCACAAACGTTATCCTCTTTTTGCTTCCGGTGCCGATGATAGAAGTCTCATTATTTCACATGGAATGGTTTACAAGTAAGATGAAACTAATATGCAGTTATTATTTTATTTTTCTTTTTTTCTTTCATATGTCAAAATTGTAAATATTAATAATAACGTCTCTTGATCATTTTTAGTGATCTATTACAAAATCCATTAATAGTACCATTGAAAAGATTATGTAATCATGAATCTTACAACGATTTTGGTATTTTCGATGTGATGTTTCATCCTACTCAACCATGGGTATTTTCTGCTGGAGCTGATTCAACTATACGAATGTATACATAATACATTTTATATTATAATTATTATTAATTATTTTAATACAAACAAAAAATAATAAATGTTCATATAAAATTCTGGAACATAAATATAGTTATATATATATATATATATGATATATTTTTCATGAAAACTTAAATTACAACGAATAAAATATTAAAATAAAAAAAAAAAGACACGCGGTAGGAACTTATATATATTGCGACAATAAAAATGTATTGATATATATATAACAGATATGAAAGACTTTGTTGTAAACATTGGTTAACAGAATTTGTTAAAAAATATATATATCTGAATTTTTTAATTAATACGTTTTCTCTGTCAATACTATTGGATATATTATTTTAAGAATGTCGTCTATTAGAGGTAAGAAAAATAATCAAATGTAATATATAACTAAAAATATGAGTTAGATTACGTTTAAGTCATATATATTAAGATAAAGGAGAATGACCTAAACATTGCCATTCTGGTTGTCCACATTCACAAACTCGTCCAGCATGACGAACATGAAAAACGGTTACTATACCCCTACTATCGTCAAATTTACAAGTAATGTGTAAATTATGAATTAAAAAAGTATAAAATTGATTTCCCCATCTTTGTCTCAAGTATACTGATCGTGGATCTTCTCTAAGAACATTTTCAATAGCTCTTCTTTCTTCTTCAGCTTTGTCTTCTAAAATTTCATTCAAATGTGTCAAAGCACGTTCGTTAAATACTACAGACAGTGTTCGTATATTTGGTCTCGATATCCATTCTGGAATTCTAACTTCGTAAGAAGCATTTTCTCTCAATTCGTTAGTACCTATTAAATTGACATCCTCTCTTTGTAATGAATTATTATCTGTAGTAGTTCTAACGGATACTGGAAAATTAGATAATGTTTGAGACGGTGTTAAAGTTTGCGGTTGAAAACCTTCTTCACCATCTGGAGCTTCTCGAATTCCCATACGTACTGGAGAATTGTCAACTCTTGAATTTAACGCACATCTATTTAATAAATCTAAATCTGTACCACAGACGGTATTTGGTCCATCAGCTCCATCCAAGAGTCTGGAATTACGTGAAGTATGAATTTCCGTATAATTATCTCCATCGTTTCTCAATGTATAAATTGAATCGATATTATTTTGATCATTGAAAGATACATTTTGTAAGGTTGTATTTAAATCTCCTATATCATCAGAATCTGATTCCAAATTACGTACGTAAGTATTACTTTCGATTATTGTAGTAAAATCTGATCTTGAATTGGACGATGTATTTACAATTGGATTTGATATTTCATATGAATTAGTACTTTCATTATTTTGTAAAGTATTCTCCTCCGAATGAATAGCTGAAGTTTGAATATAATTTCTTGATTCTAAATAATTCTCCAAATTAGGATGATATCCTTGAAATTCTTCTGCTTGTAATCTAAGGGCAATTTCTTCGTCTCTGGAAACATCCGTTTCTTGAACTATGTTATAAGAACTATTTCTAAGATATAAATCGGAAAGTCTATTTCTCGTATCATTATTTGATTCAAAATTAGTATTTAAATTGGATGTTTGATCTTGAGTTAAATTAATACATTCTTCCATATATTCAACCGATTCCATCTCATTCGATGGATATTCCATTAATCTATTGCACAATTTTTCAACGTGTAATGGGTTGTCATATTGCGGTATGTAAGGTTTTATATCCAATACTGGTGTTTGATCTACCATATCTACGCCCTCAAAGTAAATAGTATAATTATCAATTTTTAATATTTTCACTAAACTCAAACCAATAGGACAAGGACGATGAGGAGAACGAGTAGAAAATACACCTGTTCTGATACCGTTCAATCTTGGCGGAGCAACTTTAGCACGAGTATGCGTCGAATCATTTCTATGGAAATGAAATATGATCCTAAGAAAAAAAAATAAGTTATGTTAATTGTTATTATATAAAAATATGATTTATAATATAATATATAAATATATAGTTTATCTCTCTATTTCAGTTTACCATAAATGAGAAAAATCTTGTAATCCTTGAAGAGCATGATCAGGATTTGTAAACACCGAATTATGAATTAATATTTTGCCCGATGTTCTTCCGGAAACTCCAGGTTGTCGTGGTACACCTCTTTTATTGGGAAAACATGTAGAAATTATCCCAATTGGTTTTAATTTTAAAGTATCCTCTTCGTTACTTGTACCAGGCTTCACGTCTTCCAATGATATCTTCTTCGATTCCAAATTGGTTGTACCATTTTTACATAATTCCAACAAATGTTTAATACTGTTAATATCTTTCTCGTGCATATACCGTAAACTTTTTATTTGTTGCCTGAAAATGATACGTTAATACAATATTATGTTTGATAGGTTATCTTCAAAATAAATTCATTAAAAGTTTAGCTATAATAAGAATAATTAAAAAAGTGGGTAAGAAAAATAATAAAAAAGAAATAATACCTTAAATTATTAATCTCGTTTCTAGCCGCCGTTAATTGTCCAAGCATATGTTTCATATTTAAATCAGAACTTTGACAGTTCGATTCCATATTTTAAATTTGACTGCAAATATGTATTACCGGCATCATCAAAGATGATGATATGATATAAGAAATATTATTTCAAAAGAATTTGATTCAATATTATAATTCATATAAATATATTATTCAATTTTATCATTACGAATAGCATAATATACGGTAAGTTTGTATTTTTCACGTATAATTAATGTTTGTACTTTTTTTAAATTAAACGTACACGAGCACACATATAACACACATACATAACACGCTTAAGAATTATAATCAGGAATCGATAGTGTACTACCATGTACGTAAGTATATGTGTGTTAGTTGTAACGACGACCTTACCATGAATTTGCATTTATGACGTAAACATATGATTAATATTTATAATCAGAATGACTTTGATATATTTTCTTTAAAGAATTAATTAAAATTGTTATAAAAAAAAAATAATAAATATATTCTAAAAGAAATCGATTGACGAATAGAAGGAGTCCATTTTTTCGGCATGTGATTGGTTCGTGAATCCTTGCGCGGACCAATGAGAGTCGACCTCAGCGATTAATCGCGATTCTCTATATCGCATTGAGCTACCTAAACAAAATGGCGACCGTAGAAAAATTTTAGTGAACATGCAGCTTATTGATCCCTGCAATAAGTGTGACATATATATACATTTATATTTATATTATTTGCAAAAAGAATCTCGTTAAAATTAATTAAATAAATATATATATATATATCTTTTTATTTTTAAAATCTATTTTTAAAAATAAAATACATTGAGAGTATGAATTTAATAAGACCGATCGTTATCATTTCAACAAAAGTTAACTTGTTATATAATATATGTAGTTTCTATGCATAGTGCTTGCATTCCCAATTCATGTGAATTCGCCGGCTGTGTTAACGGCTTAACATGGCTTAACACATTATCATCTTCGATCGTATTATATGACAGTGATTTGCTATGGTCATTTAATGCACGTTATACTTGCATGCCATACCAATTACTTTTAAAACAATTACAATCAATGTTGTTTCAATAATTAAATGCGCATATATGTGTCAAAATATTAACACTTGGCATATCGTAAACACACAAATAGTAGTCAGACTGTTTCTAAAAGAGAAGAGAAAGAAATAATAAATAAATTACTAGATTACTATTTGTTAGTGAAAACACAAAGGTTTGTAACGTTAAAATATTTGCACAATTAAATAATTTATATTCTTTTTTTTTCTTTATCTCTCATTATTAATTTCTTTATGAATATTAGTAAAGTTAACTTTGATCTCACATATATATATCCTTTATTAATCATTCTAATATTAATCTCGATCATTATTTAATACAGTATAAAGCAATTATTAAAAACACAACTAACAATATCCCGCATTGATTGACGTTTGATAGAAAAACAAAAATGGATTTCTTATGCAGTTATACAAAGTTCCAGATGTGATGTGTCATTTTTGATGTGCATATACTCCTTCCCTCTTTTTTTTTCTTATCATCTATCTCTATTCGTCGAACGAAGAAGACGTGCGTGAATAAAGATTGAAAGTAAATATTGTATTTAAATATTTTTTATAAATACTTAGATGATTTTTATGGTTTATTCGATCAAATTTTAGTTTTTTTTTTTATTTATTTCATTCGTTTAAATAATGATTTTAATGAATAATAAATATTGATATATAAAAGTTATATTTGTGCGCGTGTGTGTGTGTGTATGAATTTAAAAGATACTTTGGTAAATAGTATGATCATTAAAAATAGATTATTATGAAAGAGACAAGAATTGGAATTTAATAACTGCTTTAATGTTAACGTTCTCGTAATTGTGTGATATAATAAAATAATAAACCTTAAATTATTAACATTTATAATAATGAAGAATCTTTATATGTGTCTTTAATCTCCGTCATATGTCATCGTGTTGTATTAGGTTCTATATAGTTGCTAATGGTCAAAGGTTACAAATCTTTATTTATATATAAAGTGATATAATATTAGGTTAAAAATGAATAGTATTTAAAATAACAAAATTTACTAATACGTTATTGGAAGTGTTATTTTAATATAATATTGTGTTTAACAATTCTACAAATATACATATAATTTATTTTCCACAGTCAAGAAACACAATGGCATTTCACGAATTAGTAGAAGCAGAATGTGGTGTTCCCAGTTCGTTGATACGCCTTACTTCGCATTATGTGAAAGATCATGGTTTCAAGGAAGAAGGATTACATCGTCCTTTTATACCACCAGAATCATTTCAACCAACAGATTCTGAACAATTGGTGAAACAGTTTATTGAAGAAACTTCATGTCCACAAACGTTTCGAATGGATAATTTATTACAAGAAATGCGTGAGATAGATCAAAATATACAACCACCTGTAGCAGCACCAGGAGTAGTCAAGGAATTAACGGGTTCGGATACATCTTGGGCGAATCAATATCTAGAATCTGGGAGACACTTTGTTGTAATTTCTATTTTACACATTTTACTTTATTATATATTTTGGTATTAACATTAATTCGTTGAACGCCAGCCAGTCCATACATAAATCATGTTTTATGCATCAGTGTGTTATAATTATCATTGTTTATTTCTTGTTATATTTTTTATAACATACAGACAATGATTAATATACAAAATCAGATCAACAGATTGACTTTGCAAAAATTTATTTAAAAGTCAGTATCATTTGTTTGTCATAGACAAGCATTTGCAAGTTCTGGCATTCAATGCGTTAATATTATTTAAATTGAATATATTTAATATATTGGTGTGAAACAAATGTTTTGTAGGAACATCATGCTGATGATATTTGGAATGCTTCAGCGATGAAAAACAATCAACCTTCGATTATTCAAGCTCAAGAAACCCACGAATTTGGATTGGATCCAAAATGGGCGGAAGAATATTTGGAGCATAGTATAGATAACGTAGAAAATAAAATTACCAATCGTGAAGTAGCGGAAACAATAGATAATAATGATAAATCTAAATTGACTTATTCGAAATTTATGAAATTTATGAGACAGGAGGGTGAAGTTTTGAAGGATGTTGAATTATCATTACCAGATTCCGATAATATGGATAATTGGACGGAAGAATATATCAATCAAAAAAGTGATCAAAATACATCAGAGAATACTAACGATGAAAATAAAGTTTTGAATAAATTAGAAGAAGATTTATCCGTGGCTGGTACTTGGATAGATGAATTTGAAAAAGAAAATATGTTTTCTGCTGGTAAAAATAAATAATATTATTTTTGATTAGTAAAATATTAAATCAAAATGATATTTGAAATTGAATTGAATCATTTTAGATGCCGACAATTACGAGTCTACGTTTTGGACGCGTCTTCAAAACGAATGGGATAAGATATCATCGTCGGATGATATTTCAACGGTAAATCCATGGATATCAGATGACGAAGCATATTATGAACCATTTAAGGATTACGTTTTTCACGATGAAAATCCTATGAAAAATTTGCCAGATGCATTGGAGGAAGGTATAAAAAGATTGAACGCTGGTGATTTGCCTAGCGCGGTACTTTGTTTTGAAGCAGCTGTACAACAAGATGAAAATAATTCAGAAGCTTGGTTACTTCTTGGCAAGACACAAGCAGAAAATGAGCAAGATCCTTTAGCTATTTCTGCATTAAAACGTTGTCTGAAACTTGATCCATTAAATTGTACAGCTTTAATGGCTCTTGCAGTTTCTTATACAAACGAATCTTATCAAAAACAAGCATGTTTTACGTTAAAAGAATGGTTATTGAAAAATGAAAAATACAAACATCTTGTTATCACGAAAAGTCCCACAGAAGAAAACAAATTAAAATTCAACAACGTATCAACAATTTTATTCGAGTAAGTTTTCGGATATAACATATTTTAAATTAAAATATATATATATATAAAGAACAAAGAAAGAAAGGATCTTCCTTTTTTTGTTTTTATTTATAGTGATGTACACAATGAAGTAAAAAAATTATATATAGAAGCAGCTAGAATGATTCCTCATGATCAAATAGATGCCGATGTTCAGTGCGGTCTTGGCGTGTTATTTAATTTATCTAGTGAATTCGATAAAGCTGCTGATTGCTTTCAAGCTGCTTTACAAGTTCGGCCTGATGTATGTACATATATATTTCCTATAGAATAATATTAAGCATATTGTATTGAAATAAAAAGTTTGATTTAATTGTAATACTTGTACAAACTTGCTGCTAGGCTAGTAAGAGTACAATTTATTTGAATTTTTTTCTTTTTTTTTGTAGGATTCTAGATTATGGAATCGATTAGGAGCAACATTAGCTAACGGTCAACGTTCAGAAGCAGCAATAAATGCGTACCATCGTGCCTTAGAATTATCTCCAGGTTTTATCAGAGCACGTTATAATCTTGGAATTTCTTGTATTAATTTAGGAGCATACAAGTAATTACAACAATATATATATCATTACTTTGTATCATAATATTAAATTTATTATATTATTTTTTTGTATAGGGAAGCCGGAGAACATTTACTTACAGCTTTGAATCAACAAGCTGCTGGTAGAGGAGTTCATGGAGAACACATAACACCTAAAGCAATGTCTAACACAATATGGTCGACTCTTAGGCTAGTTTTGTCATTGATGCACAAACATCCTTTGTATGAAGCCATAGATAATAGGTACTTTTTGTTTTGTTTAAATGTTATTAGATATTTAACACATTGATAGCCGGCCCCGCGAAAACGTGGGTTTCTGAGTTTGTCGCTTGAGTAGCTGCCCCACGATGATGTGGATTTTTTTTTTGCTGGTATGAATGAGTGTCATACACATCGATTTGTATTTATTTGCTATGGTTACGCCGATCTTCATTTGTTATACCATTAAGTGGCCGATACGTTGCCGGCGTTCAGGGCAGTGCTGTCAGATCGTGGGTAAATCTTACCCTCTCCCTGTGCCACTGGGATTGCACACAATGAAAGTTTTCCATGTCCGTGTGTTTGGGATTTCGAGGAAAGCCGAGTGTAACCGAAGTTGGCGGTTGGCCACGAAGTGGCACATTATGAAAGCGACTCGTGTCCAT